CCCTAGTAGCTGCTACTACAGGAACATGCCGCCATGCCCAGCTACTTTTTGTATTTTTAGTAGAGATGAGGTTTCACCATGTTGGCCATGATGGTCTTGATCTCTTGACCTCATGATCTGCCCTCCTTGGCTTCCTAAAGTGCTGGGATTGAAGGCCTGAGCCACCACACCCAGCCAATGCATGCATATTTTTACCTCAAAATATACTTAGAAGAGAGAGACAGACTGGTTCAAAAGCTGTATTTATCATGCATGAGCCCCACCTCTCAAATGAAAGGAATCTGGAGGAATCAGTGTGCAGCTCTTCATTCCTGATGCAAACTCTGACTGAGAATAAGATAGGCTACATTAAATCATGTTTGCTAAATACAACTGTTTTTTAAGACAACCATATTCTAGCAAACTTGATACCAGTTACTGGGAGTTGCTGCTTAAGCCATTCTGCATCCACAGAGCCCAGTATAACTGAACATTTTCTCCCAGCATGGAGTCAGCTCCAGGCCCCTTCTACTCTTCTCTCTGCCATGACCCTCCTTGGGACAATGAGCTCAAAGCCAGGATATTTAGATGGAAAGTAAGCTAGAAGAAACAACTAGGAAAAATTAAAAGAACAGAAGCTGACTTCAAAAATACAATCACTCTGCTTAAGGATTAAATAAAGTAGCATGTGAAAGAACTTGTCATGTTTCAAGGGTCTAACAAATGATGGTTTTTTTTTTCCCTCTTACCTGTTGGACACATTGCCTACATCAATTGTTTGGAAATGAATCACGTCCTGCCTTAGAACATCTATCATACTGGCAATTTACTCACATTTTTATTTTATTTTCAGTGCCTTTATGATATTCTCTCAAATAAATGTAAGCTCCTGAAGACCATGGTACACAACTTAAATTAACTGAATCTAACAGAAGGCCAGTCATACAGTAAATGCTTTAAAAATGGGTGCAGATCTAGCGTCAGGAGTCCAAAATCATGTTTGCGAACATCTAAAGAAGGTTCTCAGAAAAAAATCAGGTACTTTTTCCTTAAGATGATTCATAAACATGTTTATGTCTAAATGTTAACCAACAAAGGAGTCATGTGGTCTCTGCAGACACTCTAGATATTCAAAGGAAAGAGATTTTAAATGTACCTTTTTTTTTTTAATCCTGCATCACAACCACCCGAGTGCAAATAAATTTCAAATTTTATACTGTCCTCCTACTGATAAATGCTCATTGAATCAATTTCACTGATAAATAGAGTATATCACACATCTGATATTGAGTCAACATATAGAACAGGAGTGTATTTTGCTGAGAGAAGACGGCTGGTAGGAAACTGTCTTAGCATTCAAAACAGTGGCCAAGTTTGGCCTTTGAAGCTAAAGCTGCTGAGTGAGCAGTTAGTTAAAGAGGGCTGGAGGATAGACCCCAGTGGGCTTTCTGTCAGTCTCATTCTAGGCCCGGCTGCCTGGCACCACCAGGCAACCTCAGCTGGTTCTGTTCTGTGCATGGGTGGATGTACTCACACTATAGGAACACACACTTCACCACTTCGTACTGGTGTGGCCTTTAGCCACCTACTTCTCTTCTCTAAGCCTAAATTTGTTCATCTGTAACTATAGATGAGTATCTACTTCCCGGCAGTTTTATGGAGATTCCATGAAACAATGTATGCTGAGTATGTCACTTGGTGTTTGGTACACACTGCATGCCCAGTAAATAATAGTTGTTGCTGGATTTGCTGCTCCAAGGAGGAGGCGGCTGAAATGAGATGACCAACTGGATGCCCTGAAGAGTGGCAGCACCACCATCCACACACAGGCTCACACCCTCTGCCTGCAGATCAACAGAGATGCCCCTTTGCTGGAACAGGAACATGCTGATGGCTTCAAGGAGCGCTTTATGCATGGGAGCACCGAGGATTTAAATCAGAAAACCCCAGTTAGCTTCCCCACAGCCATGGGTCATCTCAACCAATTCCTCAAAGTCAAATCTGTTTAGAGCTTTTTGTAAACTGAGTGCCTCAAAATAAACTTATTCTTTTATTTCCAAAGTAAAGATGCTTTGGGTGGCAAGTAACAACACTACAGGTCAAAATCCATAAAGTTGGATGAGTGGCACCCCAGGCTGAGAACGTCCCAAGGCAGAGCAGGGCAGCTCAGGAGCCACTCTTCCCTGCTGGGGCTCTCCTGGCACTGCCCTCCTCCATGCAGGGCCTTGGTCATCGCCAGTCTGCTGGCAAGATAGCTTCAACAGCCGACCTGCCGTCTTCCCATAACTGTCTCCAGGAAAGAGAGCAAGAGTTTGTTCCAGAAACTTTAAGAGGAAAAACTGAAGCTTTTTATACAGAGGTTGACAATCAGCTTATCTCATCATACTGGCCTTAATTGGGTCTCATGATTCTTCCTGGATCAATTCCTCTGACTTATTGATTGCCAGGTGATGGCTTCATCCTAGGTCCCAGGTCCACCTCTCAATCTATCATGGGTGTAATAGGGATGGAATAATCTAATTAACTTCAATTAAAGAGTGTGTCTCTGGAGCGCGAGTCAATACCTTAAACTTTAGGACTGCCTTTGCAAGAGGGAAGGAGTGAGATTGATATTGGAAGGAACCACAGTACCCTCCACTCTGCTGATATTCAACTCCCCATTTCCCTCAATTCAAGCAAACAATTACAAAACGTCTGCTGTGTGTCAGACACGGTGCAGGATGCCAGGAAGACACAAGATGCCCAGTGTTGTGGACAGGAATAAATGAGCCGGCTTACGCAAAGTGCCTGTTACGGCACTCAGCCCCTAAAACTTGCTCAGGATTGTCTTCACTATAACGAATAATGCATGAGTGATCCCTGCCATTCAGGAGAGAAAGACTCTGACCAATAAATTAGACCAGTGTGCACAGAGCGACAAGACTAAGGCTGCGGGTGCACATAGAGATCACAAGAGGAGTGCGCAAGGCCCAACTCCACAAGAAGCTGTAGCCAGCGGTTAACCTTGGCTTCACATTCGATTCACCTGAGAAGTTTTCAAAACTCGCCATACCAATTAAGTCAGAATTCCTGGGGATGTAACCCAAGCACCAGGCATCAGTTTGTCTTTCTAAAGATCTCCAAATGATTAAAATGTGTAGCCAAGGCTAAGAAACACCATATTTTAGGCTACTGAGGACATAAACACATACCTGTAAACAATTAGCTAGCAGTGCCAGGTGATGAGGGGTATGCTAAAATGGATCAGGGTGGGGTGGGTCTCCAGGCAGGGAAAGGGTATGTAGAGGAGGGGGCTCAGGTCAAGGAGGCACATGGTGGGCAGAGGGGATTCATGGAGGGTTTCCATTTGCATCAGGAAGCAGGAGTCTTAAGGGGCCTTGAGGAACTGTGAGATTTGCCTAATGTAAGTTATTTGGGAGTGGTGTCTCCGTGTAAAGAGGAATGGGTTTAAGCAAAGGCATAAGGGCAGATGTGGAAGGTGTATGGATCTAGATTCAATCAGGAGAGAGAAAACTATAATTTCAACAGAAAAAATGAATAACGGGATTAGAGTAACTCGGAATTAGTGGGTAATAACTCTGAAGAGAACTCCAAAGAACATAAGAATAGAATCTATACATCCACTACCCTCAGGGCTGAGACAGAGCATCCCAGGGAAAGCCTGCCTGCCCGCAAGCTGAGGTCTAGACTTCGTTGGCACAGCATGGCTTGAAGAATAGCAGAGAAGTTGCAGGGATGTCATTTGTTGGAAATCTACCCTCTAGGGAGCCGGAGAAGCCTTTCACAGGAAGGTGTCTCAGAGGAGCACACTCTTAGCAACTGCTAGCAGCAAAGAGGGCTGGGGAAGCTACTGACCAGGAGTTGCAAGAGCCAGGCATTGGGGAAACCGAAGGAGCCACCAAGAAAGCCCAGAACCTGGAGGCAAAACCCAGAAGTGTGCCTAGGAGCAAACAGAGGCCCAGAGAGCTTACGAAACCTTCCTGGGAAACTAGCAAAGCTGGAATTCAACCTAGGTCCATCTTTTCTATGCATTATTCTTCTCTGAACAAACAGGAGTACAAGATCCAGGCTGGGAAGGTTGCTCACAGATGGAAGGGGCCTGTGCTCAGTAAGGTTAGTGACAAAGGTCTCCTAGGGGAGGCGAGGCTTCAAAAGGACCTCAGAGACCGTATTTGGAAAACAGAGAGAAAAGAGGAGGAAGTGGATTTCAAGCTGGCATTGCAACACAAGCACTTGGAACACTTACATGTGGGTAGACGTGGACTTGAGCTCCCATAGGCCTCAGCACAGCCAGGAGAGAGAGTGGTAGCAGACCGAAAGCAGGCGATGAGAGGAAAGCCAAAGGTAGAATGGAATCAGGAAGTCCTTTTAGGTCAAAGGCCTTGAATTTCAGCACGTGTGAAATCGACACATCATGAGAAAGCCAGAGCTCATAAATGGAGCGTTTCTAGGATTCCTCAGTCGCATGCCAAGCTCTCAGTGGAATGTAGGGAAGCAAATGCCAGCTTGGAGGTAGACAGACTAGAACTAGAGCATCAGCTCCAGTGTTTAGCTATATGTCCTGGGGAAAGTAATGTTTTTGAGTCTCGGGGCTCTGCACCTGCCAGGTGAAAACAATGCCACCACGTCCTTGCCGGCTTGTTCAGATGAAGTTCCTGGCAGAGACTGGCACAAGGTAGACCTGGAGTTTAATCAATAACAGCTTCCTTCTCCCTCCTATTTTCACTCATGAGACTCCTCCCATCTAAGACAGTATACCCTTGAAAATAACCTTTAAAATTCAGAAATGCCAGGATTCCTAAATCTGGTGCAGCCAGGGAGTGCCAGAGCATTAGCAGCACGTAACTTCTTATTGAGATTCTGGCTAATGTGTTCATCACTCAGAAGGAAAAGCTCAGGTTCAGGGGACACACAGTCAGGGCATCTTTGGCTGCATGGCCAAGTGGTGCCTTGAGGTCCTGTTTGCTACCTGGTCTCCACAGGGCAAATGACGGTGTCTTGTCTTTTCTTTTGGTTTTCAGGAGGAGAAGTCACCAAACCACGGTTTGCTCAGTTCTTTCATGGCAGCCTGGCCAGTCTCACCATCCGCCCTGGCAAAATGGAAAGCCAGAAGGTGATTTCCTGCCTTCAGGCCTGCAAGGAAGGGCTGGATATTAATTCCTTGGAAAGCCTTGGCCAAGGAATAAAGGTAAGGCAGGAACTGGCATTGCCCCCAATGAGACAGTGATTCATGATGCCCAGCCTGCCCAGTGCCAGCACAGACCAGGAAATGGAGCTTCCTGGAACGTTGCACAGAAATGGCTCCATGGCAAAGTGCAGCCATGAGATGGGGGGTCTGGGTGGAGATTAGTAACCATTACTTCCACAGTGGACTTCTGCGGCCGTCTTCCAAAACTCCCAGATCGAGCGCTTGTATATAATCAGTCCACTACAGAGAAGCAGGCACATGTTCAGAATCTTCCTGGAGGAAGTTGTTATATCTCATTTGTGTGTTAGTTGGCTGCTCTGTTGTTTATTTGCCTAAAGGTACTGAAGGATGCAAGAATGCATTTCAAAAGCATAAGAAGTAAACAAAAACTTAGGACCTTGTGAAATACAAATTTAAAAGGAAAGTGGAAACCTGGGTGGGGTGGAATTAGAAAGCAGGTATGGAGGTCATTCTGTCTTACACTGTTACTTCAAGGCCCAAGAAACATGAGCAGGGTGCGGTGGCTCACACCTGTAATCCCAGCACTTTGGGAGGCCAAGGCAGGCAGATCACAAGGTCAGAAGTTCAAGACCACCCTGACCAACATGGTGAAACCCCGTGTCTACTAAAAATACAAAAATTAGCTGGGCGTGGTGGTGCTGTAATCCCAGCTACTCAGGAGGCTGAGGCAGGAGAATCACTTGAACCCGAGAGGTGGAGGTTGCAGTGAGCCGAGATTGCGCCACTGTACTCCAGCCTTCTGGATAACAGAGCAAGACTCTGTCTCAAAAGAAAAAAAAAAAAAAAAGAGCCAGGCGCAGTGGCTCAAGCCTGTAATCCCAGCACTTTGGGAGGCCGAGGCGGGTGGATCACGAGGTCAAGATATCGAGACCATTCTGGTCAACATGGTGAAACCCCGTCTCTACTAAAAATACAAAAAATTAGCTGGGCATGGTGGCATGTGCCTGTAATCCCAGCTACTCAGGAGGCTGAGGCAGGAGAATTGCCTGAACCCAGGAGGCGGAGGTTGCGGTGAGCCGAGATAGCGCCATAGCACTCCAGCCTGGGTAACAAGAGCGAAACTCCGTCTCAAAAAAAAGGAAAAGAAAAGAAAAAAAGAAACATGAACAGTTAATGATTTGTATTGTTTACGCAAAATAGAAATATTCAAGTGATCTCAGAGAAGCAAAGGTTCATTTGAGAGAAGCTCCTCCTGAAGAGGCCAGGGAGAGATGTGACTGACTGTGGCCTCAGCAAGAACCCTCTGAAAGGCAGAGTCAGTTTCTAAACTCACCTGGCCTTACAAAGTGAGCACATGTTGGTGCTCGCCCACGGAGTCCTGAATAAAGAGCAGAGCTAATATCATTGTAGCCCCCACTCAATCACAGTGGATCCCAGTATGAAAAGGCAATTCTTCAGCCTCCTCTGGAAGTTGGAACAGCCCAGCCTGTGCCTTCTGGAACACGGATAGCCCTGTGAAACCCCAGTAGTTGTGAGGGTTTCTGTCCTTGGTCATTTCCCTAGAGAGTGTGACAAAAGCAGAGGTTTCGCAGCTGGCCACCATCCCTGACCCAGCACTGCCCATGGGCAGCTCTGCCCTGCCCTGCCCTGCCCTGGGCCTGCCTCACCTGGACAGGGAGTCACCACTCCAACAGAAATTTCCAGATCAGAAGCCTACTGCAGTCAAGCTCTGGTGCTGGTATCCCTGGAAAAGCTGCTGGTCTGAGAGTATTCTTCAAATTGCAGCCACTTCCACAATCATTCCATGGACATGCTAATATTCTATTATAGGATGGGTACCGAGATATGAAAAGAATTGTTCTGAGCTTACTGTCTTCAAGGACCTCAGTGACATAGACAGACATTTGTAATCCAGTTGATGACTACAACAATGACTATAAACATTAACATTTACTGAGGGTCTCTCAAGTGCCAGACACTGTCTGTCCTAAATGTTTAATAGGTATTGATTCCCAGAACACTCTCATGACAAAGGAACCATAAATATTCCCATTTTGTATATGAGAAATGAAAGACTGAAGGAGATGGGGAACTAGCCTAAGATCCCACCGGGCGCTGTAGCCCACGCCTGTAATCCCAGCACTTTGGGAGGCCGAGGCAAGCAGATCACCTGAGGTCAGAGTTCAAGACCAGGCTAACATGGTGAAACCCTGTCTCTACTAAAAATACAAAAATTAGCTGGTCGTAGTGGTGGGTGCCTGTAATCCCAGCTACTCAGGAGGCTGAGGCAGGAGAATCACCTGAAGAGGGAAGCAGAGATTTCAATGAGCCAAGATTGTGCTATTGCACTCCAGCCTGAGCAGCAGAGCAAGACATCATCTCAAAAAAAAAAAAAAAAAAAAAAAAAAAAAAATCCCAGAATTAGTGATGAATAGATTCAGTCCCACTCCAGAGATCCAGAACCTTGGAGAATGGCAGTCAGGGAGGGCTCCTTGGAGGAGATGAGGCCAGAGTAGAATGTGTACGAATAGGTAGGAACCAACTAAGATAAAGGTAGCGGTGGAGAGGGGATGGGAAAGAGGGAAGTCATTCCAGGCAGATCCAAAAGTGTGAGTGATGATGGAGGGCTGAGGAATAGCACAGGATTCACTAGAACTTCAAAAAAGCCAGTGTTCTGAGTGTTTAACTGCAGGAGGAAAAAGGTGGAAGGTGCCAGAGAGGTATACAGAGGCCACATCAGAGGCCACCTATTCACCTAGTTTAGGTGTTTACATTTTTTTTCTCTCAGCAATGGGGAGCCACTGTAGGCTCAGGCAAGGGAGGGTGATCTCAGCATATGTGGGGTTTAGGAAGCTCACCCTGGAGACGGGGTCGGCATGGGGAAGATGGGAGGAGTACAAAAGTTACAGCAAGGCTGGATTGACTTTCCAGAATATTGTTGAACGTGGATTAGATACACACACACAGTTGCTCTCTATAGCTAATCACTTGTCCTTGGGGCAAGCTCAAAAGACATCTCATATTGGAAAGGCCAGTCCTGACCTACTGTTGGCATTGCTTGCTTAGAGTTCTATCAACCCAGTGATGGAAAACTCTATCCTCCTAACATCTCTTTTTCTGATTCTAAATGTGCTCTCTGCCTCTGAGTAGATCTTCTCTGCTCTGAACCATTGCACGCAGGCACAGTTTCAGGGTGGTAGGCACTACGGAGCAAAAACACAAAGATGCTGGGCCCCGAAGTCTTGCCTTTTTATTAAAATTACAAATATGTGACCCACAGCAATTTCTACAGAGTAGTCATAGCCTATGAAAAGAGGAGGTGCCAAAGTAAGTGGCACAAAAAGCTGGGGACTGAGGAAGAAAATCTGACTTTTCCCATGCTACCTGTTTATAGCCAAGCCACTGCGGATGATCCTTTTCCATTTCTAGGGCGTGGCTGGTAAGAACTGGAGCGCTGTGTGAGAAGTTAATAAGATGCCCAATTTATGGAGCACCACTGGGGGCTATTTTATGTTCATTATTCCTACTCCTCACAACAAATTAAATGCTATGACCCCATTTCAAAACCAAGGGGACTGGGGCTCAGGGATTTGTCCAAAATAAGTTAATGCTCTTTCCTCCATACGAGCAACTTAGGTTAGAAGACATTCTTGAAAATCATTAAAATAAATTTCCTTCCTTTCCTCCCTCCCTTTACCCCTCATGTCATTTCAGAATAATGACTATTATTTTATTTGCCAGCTACTGGCCTCCTCTCACCTCTCTGGCTGGTGGAGAGAAGTGAGGCCCTTTTGAGATTAAGGACATTCTCTACCTGATCACAGGGATCAGCCCATGTGTCTTGCTTTACTTGTCTTCTTCCGAATCATGCATATTTATGAATATTTCTCCAGCATGTCTGAGTCCTGAAATGGTCTAGTGACTGCTGTCTTGCATCCATACAAGATACTGCGGAATCACCACATTCCTGAGTAATACCCTGTTCTGATCTTCATAGCACAGTCCTTGGTCATCTCCATCGTGTGGAAGAACAGGAAAGAGCAAGAACTTTAGAACTAGACACTCCTAGGTTCAAATCACAATGCTGATTATTTATTAGCTGAGTGGCCTTGGGCAAGACACTTTAATCCCTCAGTCTAAATCTCTCAAGTATAAGATAAACATACTATTATTTATGTTGTAGTGAGGTTTTAACAATTTAATTATATATCTAAATTACATATACTTTATATATTATATATTTATGTTATATATATTTTAGTGTGTATATATATACTATATATGTATATATACTGTGGATATTATATATATAATACACACACACACACACACATCCTGACAACCTAGTAGACTCTCAACAAACCACAGCTCCCTTTTGTTACAAAGGAACTTCCAAAGTGGCAGATCTTCATCTGACCCCACTCAGAGAAATGGTTTAGCTGAATCTGTAAGTCAGAAAAATCAGAGTCCAAATTTTGACTGTGTTATTTACTTAATATGGACCATGGGCGGGCAGGCAGGTGTCAGAGGGAACAGCAGGGTTCCTGTTGAATCATAGCCTGCTCTCAAGGAACAGCCCAGGGCTTTGAGCAGTGATTTCACTGGTGGTCCAGCCTGCTGGGGGGCTGGAGATGCCACATAAACCTCTAAGAGAAGTCTCTAATAAACACCATTCTGCAAGGGCTATCTATCTAGGACATTCCTGGCTCAAAGAAAGGCTATGGCCACAGCACAGATACCCAAGAGGAAGTGAACACTGTCACACTTTGCTGGGGACCCTAGCACGCCACCATCTCCTGCCTTGGTAGAGACGCCAGTACAAACATGTCTCCTGTTTAACTGGACACCCACTCAAAGAGCTGGAAATACCACAGTTAAAATAGACAAAAAACTCAAAACCTGCTCTGGAGGTTTTATTGACCCTGCAAGAACTATGTTGATGGCTAGGCCAGTGCCCACCTTCACGCTTTGTGACACGCTTCCCAGTGCTGTGGCACAGAACAGGGTATTAACTAGAGATTCAACACACTGTCTCTTCCAGTGTCTCTCCAGGTGGCTACAGAGGGATTGTGACCTCTGCTGATTGCCATAGGATACTGCTTATCCATCCCTCTAGAAGAACCTCTTGATTTTCCAACGTAGCCCTCATGTGAGGCTCAGAGACCAGCCTCCACTGCAGACCTATTATCTACCTCATGCTTTTCATGTGCTTGACCCTGCAGTGGTGCTGACAAAAAGTCAGTAGCCCTGCCCTTGAAGTCCTCACAATCTTCTGGAGGATGCAGACAGACAGACAGCAACAGCACAAGACTCTGCTACAGGAAGATGGTGCAGGGGACAAGGCTGGAGAGGAGGGGCAGAAAAACCCTTTAAAACATAGATGGTGTTTGTAGAACAGTGACCTTGAATCTTCTCAAATCTGAAACTGATGACTTGTGAATACCTCAGCACTAATCACGACTCACTAGCATGAGGCAGCTCCAGGGATAAGCACCCTAAGCTGCTGAGGCCTTCCAGGCAAGAGAGATGCTGACCCAGATACTGACTGTGGCATCACCCATGCTTATGCCTGGGCGCTCCAGGATCTAGCACCAGAGTGGTGCTCGTGGCCAGATGTCACGGCTGAGAGAGACACCACTCCTCAGGACTTGGAAGGACAGAAGAGAACTGAATCACAAGGACACAAGAGCAGTGAAGGCTGGGCACAAAGACTCAGTGCCGGCATAATTATTGTAGTAAGAATTATCATCCAAGCTATGGCATATTTAATATCTTGTAAGTGCTAGAAACGTTATACATTTTATCTCACTTAAGACCGACACAGATAGATATTAATTTCCTCCATTATTTAAACAAGGAAATGAAGTTTAAAGGGGGAAATGAAGTACTCCAAAGTTGTAATTTGTAGCCTGTGCTGGAACTGGAATATTAGAATCACAAAGCCCATGGTCTTACAAAGATACCTTATGGATGGCCTTGGGGAAGTGAGAATCAGGCCTGGGAAGTGCCATTTCCCAAACAGGCTAAGCTGTTACAGTAGCATGTGATCCCCAAACCTCAAGCCTCACGGGCTTAACATTACAAGTTCAGTTTTCTCTTATACTTAAGGTGGGGTGGGGTTTCTGCCTAGAACGCTGCAAGCCACTGAAGTGGAGGGAAAAAGACGCTGCAGCATCTTACAGGTGTTTCACTGCCTCAGCTCAGAAGTGCCACACCTCCTTCCTTTCCTGCCCAATGGCCAGAGGTATTGATGTGACTCTGGCCACCTGTGGCACAAGGTGGCTGAGGAGTGTAGCCTCCACAATGCCCAGGAAGGAAAGGAGAACAGGGTTTGGCGAGTACCGATAATGACTTCCACAGAGCTTGACTGAAAAGACAAGTGAGAGACAAAAAGCCCCTTTGGGGAATGACAGGGGATGACAGTGTAGGCTGGAGACCCTTCACTAATTCATCTAACAGCAGTTTTCAGAACGCTAAGGCTAAGTTCTGGGATGCAGGGATAAGAGGCAGAGTCCCTGTGTTCATGAACTACTGGGCACTGTACTATAATAGTGGGATTACCATTTTGTAAGTGCTACAGGAGAAAGGCACCAAAGCCCAGTGGGAATCAAAATGAGAGAAGGTGGGAGGCCTCATGGAGCAGGTAACAATGAAACACTCACATGATGGTCAAGGTGACAAAGACTGAGCTGTCAGTTGGCTAGGGGACACCATGCAAGGGACTTAGGTGGCTCAGTGTCACCAACAGTGCTCATGAGATATCCACCTCCTGTTTCAGTCCAGACACAGAACACCTTATAAAGACATTTAAGTCAGACCAGAAAACGTTAATATACATTTTTCCTTAAACCTATGAAAATATATACTCAGCTCCTCATGCTCAGAAAACTTCAAACTAAAACTACACTAAGATGACATTTATCATTTATCAGATTGGCAAAAATCCTGACATCTGATAGCATACTGTGTTATTGAGGAATGGAGAGAAGCTGCATTCTCCTACACCGTTGGAAGGAGTATGTGTTGATATAATCCCTAGCAATGGAGAAGTTGGCAACATTTATCAAAGTTAAAAGTGCATATACTCTTTGACCTAGCAATTTCACTTGATGATCCTACAGTTGTGCTTGCACAAGATTATTCATTCTGACATTGTCAGTAAAAGATTAGAAATCTTTTATTTTCCCAAATGTCCATATTAGGAAACTGGTTTTAAAGATTACCGTTTATCCCTGCAATGGATTACTACACACCAACTAAAAAAGAATAAGGAAGCTTGTCATGTACTGATACAGAAAGATCTCCAAGATATGAGCCAAGTTAAAACAAAGTATGATATATTATGTAATGAGATACTTTTTATATAGGAAGAAAAATGGAAATCTATATTCACTGATTATATATATATATATATATATATATATAAGAATGCTTGAGTTTAACTGTCAGGATAAGCTATGTATGCTACAGTAACAAATTATTTAATATCTCAGTGGCTTATAGAGCAAAATTTTATTTATTGCTCATGCTTCATGTCCATTATAGACAGGCTGCAGCTCTGATCCATACCTCCCTCACTGTGAGATGCTGGCCGCTGGACCAGCCCCTAAAGGAATGTTGCCAGTTTCATGGTAGAGAGAAACGGATGCAGCATACAATGAACTGGTTATTAAATCTTCCATAGAGTGTCAACCAAATAATATTTGTGCCCACATTTAGTTGACCAAGCAAGTAACATGACCACTGCTGAGTGCAACAGGGCAAAAACATATATCCTGCAGGGAAGGGTTCCATAAGTCATACAGTCAAGCCTATGAACAATAAGGCAGACATGTCTAAGTGTCCCATGGGAGGGGAAACGATGAATTGTGAACAACAATGCAGTTTGCCACTATGAAACTAAAGTAACAGTGGGGACTTATGGGATGGGACTGTGGAAATTGGGTGGATGGGAGGTAGAAACAAGACGGATACTTTTCACCTGACACATATGTACATTTGAAACGTGAATATATTATCTATTCACAGATATGTTTCTGATATTTCATTGATACCATTTCCTAATAATTCTTGCTCAGAAGTACATCAAAGTCAGTAATTCGGGGCAGTACAAGGGCGGTTTTCCCTGCCTCATTCAGAGAAGTAACTGCCTTGGGGATATGGAGAGGGCAAGAGTCTATATCCAGCTTGAGTACCCAAGTGACTCAGTGGAGAGAATTGCCGCTATGTGCCTTTGGTAAATGTGGGATACCAGGGACTCAGGATAGAATGGATAGATAACCAACCCAGGGCTGCTGGCAGATGTGTAGGCAGCAGGTGAGTACAACTCAAGTTTAGCACTTGAAAAGCAAAAAACGAGATCTGAGAGAGAAAGCAAGCCGTTAACTGAAAAATGAGCTTGAAGGTTAGAAGCTAAGAAGATGAGGGCTGGGTCAGGAGTACAAGATGAATTTGGGGAGCAGTTCAAGGTCAAAGACAAAGACAACAAAAGGAGTCAACACCCAAGTGCTGAGTGGTCCAGACCACCGGCTACCACAGAGCATGGGCCACTGTTCACCAAGGGCTGGGCTGTGAGAGCACCATGGCTGGGTTTTCAATATTCGATCCAATGGCTCAGGCCGGTATGACCAGGCAGAGTCCCTGGAAAGACCTCATAGAAGAGGCCAAAGCCCAACACAGAGTAGCAGGAGGTGCTTGAGAGTTTAAACACTATCATTTGTGCACACAACTGCATCACTGGCAGATGCTCTGGAGGTGTTTGTTGTGACCTCTGATGCCCTGTATAGACAGGAAGAGCTCCCATGAAACCATGTATATCACTGACCATTCTCTACCACGATGCTCACTTTTGTCTTCCAGTATCACTTTAACCCCTCGCAGTCCATCCTGGTGATGGAAGGTGATGACATTGGGAACATTAACCGTGCTCTCCAGAAAGTGTCCTACATCAACTCCAGGCAGTTCCCGACGGCGGGTGTGCGGCGCCTCAAAGTCTCCTCCAAAGTCCAGTGAGTGGATGCTGCTCAGCTTGGGACCAACTGAGGCAGCAGGGTTGGTCCCTTAGGAATGTTCCCTTGCAAAATAGGATTTGTCTTTCTTCAGCTGCCCTCAACTTCTGCTATTCCTATGGGGATGCCTCAATGGATCTGCGTTCTTGTTTTCTTCTTAAGCAAGATGTTCTGATGCTTTACCACCTTGAATCTGCCTTTCTCTATTATATTCTGTATCTTATCTAATGCCTAGATGGTACTGCTTTCTATAAATTCTGAGAGCTGGGAATTTGAAGTGATCTGGGTGTGGGACTGAAGTGTTCTGATTTAAGGGCACAGTGCCTGGTACATAGGAAGTGCTTGACAAATGTTTATTAAATTGAATTAAGTTAACCAGCGCAGCTATGTTAGAGTTCCTAAATCCCATAGGTATGCCAGAAAAACAGGAGGCATGGTTCCTGTTTCCAGGGATCAGAGTTAAATTCGAAGACACTGAAGCCTTTGGATCACTCACTCCCTGGCCTATCAAATCACTTCTCAGCCACAGCCTCTGCCTTGAAGGGCTGCTAGGTGAGGGATCCTAGGAAAACTCCCGGAAGGTGGAAGTGCAGTCCTTTGTTGCCCAGTCAGGAAAGGGACTCAGAAAGAGAGGAACAAGACTGGGAAGATGGGTCTGCTGACTGCCACATGGATCCTGGGACAGGCACCAGTATAGAGCCCACAGATGGTAGTTACATTCAGTAGTTCTAGAACAGTGGAGGAGTGCTCCACCCCTACAGGCTTGCGGGTAGGGAACAGGTACCTCCAGGTCGGCACCACATTAGAGTGAAAATGAGAGAACAGACTGGCCTGTGTCCTGCTCTGAGACGAGGCTTCTGCAAACTGAAGAAAGGTAGGGGGTGCTGCGGGGTTCACCTGGCAGAAGCAGGAGAAAACTGGGAGGAGGTGGTGGCCACCAAAACTCCCACATTTTACCCACCCATAGAAGAGGAAGAGGATGGAGTAGCTCTGCCTGGAATCTACCCAGAATACCCTTTCCTCGGGAACTTTCCCAAGGCATGTAAGATGACGGCTGCCACCAGCTGAAGGCCACTCAGCACTCCCAGAGCATCTGTCTGACCCTGGGGTCCCCCACTATAGCCTACATCTAGATGACCAGGGGCAAGGGCCAATGACATGGTGCCCCCGTGAGGTCTGACAAGAAGGTCAAATCAACCAGCATTTACCGAGCTGAAACCATGCTGCAGGCTTTGGTCAGCTTGTTTTCTATATATGTCTGCATTTCTATGGTTACTGTAGGACAATTATTGTTATCCTTATTGTATAGATGAAGAAACTGAGCTTCACAAGAGTCGAGTGCCTTCTTCACATTTACCCAGCCCAGGAGTGGCAGGGCCAGGCCACGGATCCTTGCCCGCCTCAGGCCTCTCTCTTGTGGCCACACCATTTCTGCCTCCCAGATGACTGTGTGGTGGTGGATCAGGAGAAAGGACAGTGATTACAATAGCAGTTTGCTCTCACACCTAGAAAAGGCACACTTTTCTGACATCTACATACAGACATATCGTGTAAGTTGAGGCAGGAGAGTTTAGCCCTGGGGTCTCAATTAGTAAGATGGCTGTAACCCCCCAGTTAGACAACAATTTGCTTACCAAATACTAAAGCACATAACAAGCAGTTACTATCTAATTAATGTGGCCATTAATTACTTTGTTAAGGGATAGCGGAAGGTTTCATGGTTACATGTTGCTCATACAGAAAATTCCCATTTCTCTCAGGAGCCAATCCTTGAAGTCCCTAGATCACTAGTGGTTTTGCTTATAAGGTGGCTTTAAATCTGAATGCCTGCTGACATCCTCAGAGACTCTGCCTTGTTAAGAACTGGAGGTGGCAACCCTTGGTTCCTGGCTGTATGACACATGGTTTGTTTGCTCATCAGTGCCATAACTGAGGCTGTTTTCCCAGGTGCTTTGGGGAAGATGTATGCATCAGTATCCCCGAGGTGGATGCCTATGTGATGGTCCTGCAGGCCGTCGAGCCCCAGATCACCCTCCGGGGCACGGACCACTTCTGGAGACCCACCGCCCAGTTTGAAAGTGCCAGGGGAGTGACCCTCTTCCCTGATCTCAAGATTGTGAGCACCTTTGCCAAAACTGAGGCCCCCAGAGACATGAAAACCACAGGTACTGGTGCATTTGAGGTTGTGGGAAGGGTGGATCTTAATTTTTTACAGCCATGTGAACTCATACTTCAGAACAACAGCATTGTTTGTGTAATGTATACATGGCACAAATGTGTACATGGAAGTGTAATATAGCAAAACACAAACATATAAACAAACCAAATGAGTAAGAGGGGAATGGATGGTTTAGCAATGAGGGATATGAGGTTGGAGGGAAGGCATTTATACTAAACGATAAGTGAAAAAATGCAAGACACAAAGTTACATAGTACCTACACAGAGAATGATCTCAACCATTTAAGAAAAAAAAAATGCCAAGAAGGACACATACCCTATGCTAACAGCGTTATTCTCTGAGAAGCATGATGAGAGCCACATTTGTTTCTGCTTCCCTTCCCTTTCTGCAATTGCAGAAATGTTCTATAGTGGGCATGTATTATTCTGATAATTGGAAGAAAAGCTGAAGATACATAAAGAAAAAATATAGCTGCATCTTAATATATACACCATAGAAGTTAGGTCTCATTCAGCAACATTACTCTAAGTTCTCAGGAAACTTTTAAGTTGTTATTTGCGACAACTTCATGATCGGGAAGGTTTTTCAGCGAAAGAGGAGTAATGTGAATTATCTACCAAAGAGTAACAGTTACTGAAAGCTACAGTATATGCTGGGGGGAGGGGAGGGGAAGGGAAGGAGGGAAACCAGGAAATGAGCAAGGGAGGGAGGAAAACCTTTGTTACTCCGGGGGATCCAAGTCTATAGGGGAAATATAAATTTGAGAACTGTCCTCTGCTGCCTCTTCCAAGAGAGTATTTTCAACTCTCCTCTCCCCCTTCCAAAGGCCACTGCTAATGATGTGCTGCTGCCTGTGGTCCTCAGTCCCTGAAGAGCTGCTGTTATAATCATCCTAATTACTCATCGCCTTAAACCACCCTGGGTCCCTAGTGAATGGGGTACTCAAGAGATAGCCCTTCTTAGCTCATAAAAAATAGATATTTTACCACCTGTCCATGCAGAACAGTTTCCTGGTTACAGGCCAACGTGCACTAGGTTGTGTGGTCGTTCCTCTTCCCCTCTTCTCATTTGTGGCTAAAATCAGATGGAAAGAAATGAGTCTCTGACCTCAGTGGTTGCAGGTCATGACCAAGTGTGTCTGGATTGCTACATCTGACACCAGCATACAGGAAATGTAGGGAAGAACAATTATCTGGGTTCACATTTCACCTTCTGTTTATGAGAGGTACAGGCAGGCACATAGCCAAGTGTCCAAGAGCTATTATTAGTGCCCTTAAATTTTTACTCCTATTGTTGTTGGAATGGTCATTATTAAGGGTGTCTTAGACAAGGAGGATAATGGCATTTGCCACCATTGCCACTGGCTCCAACATCAACTGCTGCCCCCACTGAGATGCTCTTTATGCTCTCAATACCAAAGACAGGAGATTCCCCCAACATGGGCGCACGCGCACACACAGACACACACCTCCGTCAACTCTGTGTTACTTCACACCTTCGCTCTGCTCTCTGGATGGAAAGTCCCTTTCCTTCTCTATCTTTTGATTCCTGGCAAACATCTCTGCCTTCAGCACCTCCCCAAGGCGGCTCCCACCACCACCATTATGACACTCCCAACTGCTGGTGCTTCCCTCAGCACACATTTTTTAGCCCTTGGTGGTGATTTCCTGTTTATTAAACCAGACCAGGAGACCCCGAGGGCTCGACCATGGCTGATTTGCCTCTGGGTCCCTGGACGAAGCACATTCCCTTCCACACAGTGGGAATCAAGGAAACTGCAGATGGAAGATAATACCCACAACAAGAGAGAACCATGAGAAAATGGCAGCTGTGACACACTCTGTGACACATTTCCTACCTCACGGAGCTCTCGGGCAGCCACAGTGGGAGGTAGGAACAAGGACAGTATGACCAGATCTGACAAGAAGCCAGCAAAAAAAACCGGAAACCTTGAGAAGGCCATCTGAAATAGAGATGCACATACAGTATTGCTAATTATAGACCTTCTCTGAAGTGTATGATTGTGCTTTTAGAATTTGCTGATTATACACAAAACCACTGTGATTGACAAGCATTTCAAAATTAAGATAAAGAAATTATTTATAATAATATATATCTAGTGAGAACAAAAATATTTTTGGTATCATTCAAAAACTCAAAAGATAATTATTTAAAATAAGCCATCTTTAGTGAATCCTTTCTTAAATTTCTATTTTAATAAATGTTTTATAACAAAGTATATTTAGTATACTTTATAAATAAGCATACGTATTTAAATTATCTCTCTTCACAAATTTTGCAATAAAAGTGCAAGATCAAAACCACTTGAAGACAACTAGCCTATCATCAGTAAGACGGGGATAATAATAGTGTCCCTTTAGTGTCTATTAGGATTATATTTGCAAAGTGCCTGGCACATAGCACACGCTTCATAAATACCAATCACCTTCTTCAGATGGAATTTTAATTTGAGACTGCCAAACTCTGCCCTGCATTCAAACACTCAGACATTTCTTTGGGAAATTCAGAGTCATACGATCAGGCAAGGACAACCTGACTGACCAACTTGCTAATGTGCTCCCCTGGGAGCACCTTAATTAATTAGATTAATTTAACAAGTATGGATTATTAGTTATGTCACATTGACTTAATTGACTATTAATTAATGATTCAGCTCTATTTGAGCAAGGTGTAGTAGTGACTACTCCATGCTTGTTCCTGGGTTAGCCACTAAGGATTCAGTCATAAAAAGACAGTGCTTCCGTCCTTCAGAACCTCAGGTGGTCAGGGGGACAGACTCACTATGGCTACAGGGAGAAAGCTATGAGAGCATGGTGGAAGGCTACTTGTCTCTACCCAAATGAGGGCTGTTGCTTATTGAGCACCTACAGTGTGCTTTAGACACTGTTGTCAATCATCTCAAGACCTTGCCTTCCTGACAGATGAAGAAATTCAGTGGTCGGTAGTTCCTCTAACACTATGAGCTCCTCAGAGACAGAGCTGGTATTCAAATCACATCTTTTGGCTACAGTATTCATGCTCTTCCCACTAATTCATGCTACGCAACCTCAGGGCCGCCTGGACATCTGAGCAGTGGACGTAGTATTTGGGATCACACAGACACTGCTCCTGACCCAGCCTTAACCTGGGGAGCAATAGCAGAGGAGGAAGATGATTAGCAAGGGCTGTTTTCTGAGCTGTTCCTCATGCCTACACTTCCCATGTCTGTCTTTCTACAGTGCCCAAATCAGAAGTCTTAGAGGAAATGCTTCATAACTTAGATTTCTGTGACATTTTGGTCATCGGAGGGGACTTGGACCCAAGGCAGGAGTGCTTGGAGCTCAACCACAGTGAGCTCCACCAACGACACCTGGACGCCACTAATTCTACTGCAGGCTACTCCATCTACGGTAAGGCCACACTCAGCCCCCTTTGCCCCAAGGGTGTCCTCTTAGAATGTCCTTATCCAGGGAGGCACGAGTGAGACTGCACCTGTGAAGGAGCACTGTGAACCCCCAGGGACCATCAGTTGGAAATCCTTGGCCTCAAGCATGGATTTCTAGACCCTCCTTTGGCGAGTTACTCCAGCGTCTTGGGGACTGGCCCCACATTCCCACTTCTGGGGAATTCTTCTGTAGAAGCTAGATGGATGCATTTTCTTACAATGTTTGATCTCAGCAAATGTCACAGAAACTTCTAGCAGACTGAAGCAGTCTGTATGGAAAGCCTATGCATCGGTGTCATTTTGGCTCCTTCTACACATTGTCTGCTCAAAATCGCTTGACTTCTTATCCTCAACAAATTTACAAGACCCACAAGGTCTTGTACCACAAGCCCCACCCTGTCTCCTTCTTCTCTTCCTCCTCCTCCTCTGTCTTCTGATGACACACGTGGTCTGTTGGCACAGGTGTGGGCTCCATGAGCCGCTACGAGCAGGTGCTGCATCACATCCGCTACCGCAACTGGCGTCCGGCTTCCCTGGAGGCCCGGCGTTTCCGGATCAAGTGCTCAGAACTCAATGGGCGCTATACTAGCAATGAGTTCAACTTGGAGGTGAGTGGGTCTTGCCATTGTTAGGGAAGCCAAGGCTCACCCAGTCCCTTAGTCATTCAGAACTGCTGTAACTGACCCACCTGCCACTCCTGGTCAATAGCACCTCTCCCGCTCTTCCCAGGTCAGCGTCCTCCATGAAGACAGAGTCTCAGATAAGGAGCATGTCAACCACCTGATTGTGCAGCCTCCCTTCCTCCAGTCTGTCCATCATCCTGAGTCCTGGAGTAGCATCCAGCGCAGTTCAGGTAGGGCTCCCGACAGGAGGGCCCCTCGGGACATGAGGTAGTCATTGTGCCTCAAGAGTATTCACTAAACAGGCAGTTACATTGTAGCAACCATAGGTGCCCAGAACTGAGGGAGGGAGCCCAGCAATGGAGAAAATGTGTCCTCCCTCTGAGGCACTCACACTCCTACTAGACAGTCAATAAGTTAACAAAAAGTTACACAACACACACAATAGTGGAGGTCGTCGGTACGAAGGGCTGGGACAAAATTTCAGGCCCAACTCAAAATCATGTCCTGCATTAAGCTTTCCATGAGCCCTTTACACACACTCACACACACGTATGTACCATATTGCAAAGTCCCCTGCCCAAATTTCTGTTTGAGCACTTGCCATATTGTGTTACCATCTGGTGGGCACTTGTATCTGTTTCTACTAAACTCTACAGTGCCTGGCTCTGTGAAAGTTTCTTTATAAGTTGAAGGGTAAAGCCAGGAATAAAAGATAATTTGCATTTAATGAGCACCTATACTGCACTTATGTGGAAACACAGATTATTTAATTTACACCTAGCAATTACCCCTAAGATAGGATTTGTTATGTCCATTATAGAGGAGATGAAAGGGAAGCTCAGACAAGGTAAGGTGCTGCTCTGGAGTTCCACAGCTGGGAAGTGGTAGGGCAGACTTTATCCTATGCATGGTTGTTTTGTTCATGCTCCATCACAAGACTGAGCTAGGCCTTTGTTCAACATGTCATGCGAGTTCCTTCCTTGTTCCAGTGGTTCCAAGTATTGCCACGGTGGTCATCATCATCTCCGTGTGCATGCTTGTGTTTGTCGTGGCCATGGGTGTGTACCGGGTCCGGATTGCCCACCAGCACTTCATCCAGGAGACTGAGGCTGCCAAGGACTCTGAGATGGATTGGGATGATTCTGCGCTGACTATCACAGTCAACCCCATGGAGGTGATCCTCACACAGGGCTGGGAGTTCCGGGTGGGGTGCTTCTCCCTCCACCCAGCTCAACCCTTCCTATGCTTAAAGCTGGTCCATGTCCCCTCCTTCTGGAAGCCCTGCCCCATCTAGTCCAGCTCCACTGATTCTCCCTCTCTCTGAGCTCCTCTAGCCCTTTCAGCCTGAACAGACCATACCCTCCCACCAACTACATTGTCTGATTTACCATGTATCACTTGCTCTTACTCCACAAACAGAACCAGAAATATTTGTTAAAGCAAGCAAACAGCATGAGATGGCTATGCCTTGCTTCCCCCATAGTATTTAGCTAAGAGCTGATTAACACCAAGGGACTCAGTATTGAAGTTTTGATTAACTAACAGTGAAAATTAGATGGCTTTGCTCCATACTGTCTAAAGAGTTCACTCAAAGGCTCAGAACAGATTAAATCAAAAATATAGCAGCAATGCCTGCCATTTATTGAGCCCCCATTTGCCAGATGCTGTATAGGATGCTCTATATATACCACCTCATTGAATCTTCCGACAACCTATAAAATAGAAGTCATCATTTTCATTTGCCAAGGTGGAAACCAACTAAGAAAGGAGAAGTAACATACTCAAATTAACACAGCCAATAGTCAAATTCAAGGTTGTTTCATTCTCAAATCCCTATCTCTTCAGTTACCCAACAGCACCCAGAATTTATCCATGAGTGTCAAGGGAAGTCCTCTACATCACACCCTTTGCCCATGGGTCCTGGGTGATGGTAGACACACACTTAGAAAAGGCAGGGGAAGATGATCACCCCAGCCTGGTCCCCAGTTTCCACCTCAGTTGGCCTCACACTCCAATTTCAAAGCCAGTGTGCTAATGTGGCTCAGTTTCTCCAAGCATGTACTGTAGGTACAGTGCTGAGCTCAGTGCCATAGAGACTCCAGCATCTCCACCTTTGGAGAGGTGAGCTTTGTGTGTGGAAAACAAGACCACTATATCTGGAGCAGTCTGAGGACAGGGCAAGACTGTGCCTAACAAGGCCAACCTTGTGATGTCAAAAGTCTATGAGCTTGAATAGGAAAAGCCTTCAGGATGGCAATGTTCAGAAATAAAATTTTGCTGGAATCATCCGAAAGTTGGATGGGGGTGGGAGGATTTGGACTGGAAAGTGATGACCAAGACATTTGTCCTTTCCGAAGGAACATTTTTGAGGGCATGCATACCTGAGTCTTTGCTTAGAAGACCTTCTGCTCCCAGGGACACTGCATGCACAGTTGGAAAAGAGACACAAGCTCTCTTTTCTCTCACTGAGAAGCAAATTGAGAAGCAAACACTTAAGGCTTGGACAACTCCATTTAAATAGGCTCCTGAAATAACTGAAACATTTAGTAAATGATGGATAGGATTGGCTTAAATGTCCAGCCCATGATTTATACACAATAGTCTACCTTGAGTTCATGCCTTGGAATTTGCTGCTATTTCAGGCTTTTGCTTTGAATATTCTAGTTTCCTTTTTACCAAAAGACTTCCCTTCCAGGAAGTCTGCCTGCAGGCTGAGGAGTTTAGCAACCAGAGAAGAAATTCCAAGGGGCCCTAAATGTTTCCTCAATCGATGGAGAAACATAAGCTCCAAAGTGGGCTTTGCTCAGCCCCTCATGAGCATTTCCTTTCTCTCCCTGATATCCAGAAACATGCAGGACCAGGGCATGGGGAAGACGAGACTGAGGGAGAAGAGGAAGAAGAAGCAGAGGAAGACATGAGCTCCAGCAGTGGCTCTGATGACAGCGAAGAGGAGGAGGAGGAGGAAGGGATGGGCAGAGGCAGACATGGGCAGAGTGGAGCCAGGCAAGCCCAGCTGGAGTGGGATGACTCCACCCTCCCCTACTAGTGTCTAGGGGTCTGCCTGGCCCACGTGTCCCTTTTGTAAACCCTGACCCAGTGTATGCCCATGTCTATCTTACCTCACCTCTGATGTCTGTGACATGTCTGGGAAGGCCTTCTCCATCTTCCTGGAGCCCACCCTTTAAGCCTTGGGCACTCCCTGTGTCCCATAGGGAAGTTCCAAGAAGCCCAGCATGGCCATCAGTGGGGACTTCAGGGTAGACTTTGTCCCTTAGACTCCACTTCTGCCCTATGCCCCCCAGCATCCTGTCTACCTGTCTGCAGAGTCTGCCTTTGCTTTTTTCTGCAGGAAAGAGGTCCACCTTTGTGTCACTCATCTCCCCAGGCTCAGAGTCCCCAAGGCCCTGGGGCTCTAACTCACTGTGCGTCTCCTCCACACAGACCAGCAGGTCCTCCTATGCTTACTCCAGGTTACTTTATACAAGGAGGGTGGTTGAACTTCACACACCTAAGGTCTTAGCGCTTAGCAGTTTCAAGGAAAGTTCTTGTAGGGGCAGAACTAAGTTTACAGGGGAAGGTACACACATTCTCTCGCTCGTTCTCTCTCTCTCTCTCTCTCTCTCTCTCTCTCTCTCTCTCATTCCTCAGCTTGGAGAACCTTTCCCTTTCCTTCTTTCTGAGGCCACATAAGCTTATAGGAAAAGTCCTAAGCCAAGAATAGGTCCTTGGCCACAGGAGGGCCTGATCCCCAATAAGAGCTATCTGAACCTGGCTGCCTGGGCACTTGCTGCAACCATGCAGTTGCCCTGCCAGGGACACTCACTACACAGAACCACAGGCTCTGGGAGGCATTCCACACAGGCACTGTTCCAGGTGACAATTACCACAATCCTAGAGCCATGAAACAGAAGGAAATGCTGATGAGATCACAGGTAGGCTTCCTGGTGGGCTGGGTGGGGGTGGCTGGGCTCCCCCAGGACAGAGGGGACCCTGAGGTTGGCAAGGCTCTCACCACTCAGCCTCATCGTCCCTTATCTTCTGTTTTACACTATTTTCCAACTTGAGAAAATACACGCTCTCTGGATGTATTCGAAACGCACAAGCTCCACTGAGTCTAAGACGAAAGTTTGAAATTTAATTGCAAGGAATTAGAAGCATATTTGCAATCAAGCAGCTTCTTCTTTCTTCTACTCATAAGCAGAGGAACACTTGGGATAGAGGGCAAATGTATCTGAAAACCTCATTTCTTTCTTTTTTTGCTAAGGAAATCTTTTTCATCTCCATCCTAACATGCACACCCTGTGAAGAGAATTGTTTCTATAGTAACTGGTCCGTGATCTTTTGTGGCCGAGAGAATAGCAGGCAAGAATTAGGGCTGTGATAGAATTTCCACGAAGCTCTGAGAACATGTTTGTTTCAAATGTCTCAGGTTCCTCTGTGTCATCAGTGTGTACGATCTGTCCCCATCCTCCCACTCCTCCCCAAGCTCACACCAATTGGTTTGGCACAGGCATAGAGCTGGTCCCAAGTTAAGTGGCATTCATCTTCAAAAACAAGTTCAGAATCTCAGCTTCTTGTGTCATCAAAACAGCTTAAGGAGACTACCGCCAACGTCCTCCAGTCTGACCTCCACCCAGTGAGGACCCATGGCAGGCCTTTTCAACTTTCTGATTCATGAGAACGACCTGGTGCAGCTTTTCCCACCTCCTAAAATGTTTTTGCATCTGTTCCTTCCTTTGGACCTCACAATCCTGTGAAGTAACTGAGACATCTGTTGTTAGACACATTTTTGTGATGACTAAACCGACGCTTGGCGGTTCAATGTTTTGCTCAGAGTCATTCAAAAGTATAGACAAGACCAGACTCCCCAACTTCCACTCCTCGTCCAGCATTCTACTTATAGTTATGCAACTAGTAGACACTGCTGCATACCTACTATGTGCTAAGCATTCTACCAACAGCTGTGAGAAAAAGAAAAGCTGAATAGGATAAGCTCCTCCCCAACAGAGGACTTTATATTTGCAGAGGGGAAATGAACAGACCTAGAAACTACACAAGAGACAAATGCATAGAAAGAGAAAGGGAGAGGAGAAGTCATAGGAGAACAAAGACATGGTCACAAACTTAACCAGCGCTCTTATTTTTCCCTTCTTAGGGAAAAACACTGGAAGAAGTTAGGGTTTTATATTCATTGGATGGAAGTAAACATTTCTCCTATGAATTCTCCCAACCAAATAGCCCTTTTCTGTTAGGCTGTGTCTGCACATCCACAAGGAGAAAAGCTGTAGGACTGATTAGTTTTCACAGTCCCACTTAAATTTTTTTTTTTTAATTCTTTATTTGGGCATTTAGGAGCTGCTGAATTCTCCCTGAATCGTGGCAGCAAAAAGAACACTTCCTATGTTCAAAACCAATTCCTTTGGAATTCGATGTTGATTTTAAATATTTAAGTCTAGTGTTTGTGAGAATTTTGCTCGGTCTTTTCAGTCTGGGTGGGTAGGGAAAGTGTTCCTCATGCCCTCCGGGTGTCTGCCTTATTCATAGTTGAGAGTGCTGTTAGGGGAAATCTTTGTATGTTTTCAGTTTTTTTTTTTTTTTTTTTTTTTTGGGTGGGGCAAGGTGGGTAGCAAGTAAAAGTGGCCTGTGGCGAGGGCAGGAAAGATGAATAATTAGAGGAAGCATTTGGTTAGTGGACTTATTTACAGAGAAACAGTGGTGACAGAAACAATCAGTTGTTTCCCTTAACTCGGACCATGAGAGGTCATTCTCTGCACGTCAGCTCCAAAGATCAGGCACTTGAATGAATCCACTGGGTCAGCAGGCATTGGACATATTTTCAATGCTCTCCTCCTCACCATGGGTGAGAACAAGATGGGAGTGGTTATAGCGCAGTAACAGAGGCTTTGGAAGGTATCCAGGTAAGCAGGCTAATGTGGCTTGTCCTCCCCAGATATTGTGATCCCAAGACAAAAGTGTCATTTATCAGTCTGGCATTTTCCAGCCTCCATATGCTGGCATCCAGGAACCAAAACCCTTGAAGGCCTAGACACCCTGTGACCTCTCACTCAGGTATTTTGCAGCCAGGCGGATGCAGGCTCATGTCCAGGACGAACTGCTGACTGGTTTGGCCACAGCCCAGTTCATTGCTTGTCTTGTCAAGTGGACAACCAGATTCTGCCTTCCTGAGCTTGAAAACAGGCTAAAACTATCAGGTGATTTAGATGACATGGAGGAGAAGATTAGAGTTGTTAAATCCCAGTGCAGAATGAGTTACTTCAGTGGAGGAAAGCAATCAGCTAGATGGTGGCCTGCCTTAAAAAGTACTAAATAGTTATCATACATTCGATCAAATGCTGTAGGCCTAACCAAGGCCCAAATTCATCTAAATACCAAGAATGTGATTTCAGTGAAATCTTTTCATTACCACTTTCTTTTGTTTGTTGGTTGGTTGGTTTTTTTTTTTTTTTGACTCGGAGTCTTGCTGCTCTGTTGCCCAGGCTGGAGTACAGTGGCGCAATCTGGGCTCACTGTAACGCCTGCCTCCCAGTTTAAGTGATTCTCTTGCCTCAGTCTCCCAAGTAGTTGGGATGACAGGCACCCACTACCATGCCCTGCTAATTTTTGTATTCTTAGTAGAGATGGGTTTTCACCATGTTGCCCAGGCTGGTCTCAAATTCCTAACCTCAGGTGATCCACCCTCCTCGGCTTCCCAAAATGCTAGGATTACAGGTATGAGCCACCACACCCATCCCTCATTACCACTTTCTTGAATTTTCAATCATCCTATCAAGCAGGATTTAGACCAACATCTTTGCATTTAATAAGGGCCACACCTTATTATCCGTGTACACACGGATAATCCAGTAAGAGGGCTGGAGGTAGTGGGAAGCAATGTCCCCCATTCCTGTATGTCAGGTGTCACCAAACTTTATCTGTAAAGAGCCAAATAGTAAATATTGGGGTCTTTGTGAGCCATATGGTATCTGTCACAAGTATAGTCGGCCCTCCATATCTGAGGTTCCCAAATCCATGGATTCAACTTACCTTGAATCAAAGTATTTGGGAAAAAATGGGTAGTTACAACTGACCTGAACATTTATAGACTTTTTTTCATTATTAGTCCTTGAACAACACAGTGTAACAGCGTTTACATAGCATTTACATTGTATTAGGAATTATAAGTAACCTAGAGATGATCTGAAGGACACAGGAAGATATGCATATGTATATGCAAATACTATGCATTCTATATAAGGGAATTGAGCATCTGTGGATTTTGGTATCCAAGGGGAGTTCTGGAACAAATCGCCCACAGATACTGAGGGGTGACTGTACTCAGCTCTGCTATTATAGCATGAAAACAGCCACAGATAATACATACAAATGAATGTTCCATTAAACTTTAGGTTCCAATAAAACTACTTAAAAACACTAAAAAGGCAGGCAATTTGAATTTAGATAATTTTTGTGTCATTTTTTCACCCTTTTCATTCATATTTTTAATAATTTAAAAATATAAAAACCTTTCTCAGCCCAGAGGTCATACTAGATTTGGCCCAAGCTAGATTTGGCCCAAGGCCGTAGTTTGCCAACCTCTCCCATACACGCGTGGAAGGCAGCCTTCCGCTCCCGAGGAGAGGGCCAACTGCTATTGTCCTCTCACCGACTACCCAGTAGTCTTTGCCTCCAAACTGAACAACAGGAAAACGCCATAGTTCTTAATTAAGCTGTTTTAAAAGCCCATGTTCCAGGGGAAAAACAAAAAACAAACAAACAAAACGCTTGTTATTTGCTGAATTGACAAACTCAGACAGCTATTCCACAAGAGTTGAAAGCCTTGCATCGAGGTGGCTGTCTAGTTACTGAGTGCTAACTCCATGGAGGCAAGTGTTAGGTCCCCAGGCTCAGTGCCTTCCCAGCACAGCTCAGCCCATAATGATCGCTGAGCAGGAGTGTTCATTATCTCAGACTGATTGTCATTTCAGCCCTGTTCTTGCCATTGCTCTAAAAATGATCCTAAAGACTTGTGACTGTTTAAATCAATAGCAGCAGCATCAGTAGAAAGCTTGACCCAGCACACTTCAAAATTAGCAATCTTCTTGGTTCTGTGACTCAAAATCAGCAAGAAGGAAAAAAAAAAAAAAGAGGACTTCTTTTTAAATCATTCCCCCATTTAAATTAGCCAAAGAGTTTTTATAAAAAAGTAGGGAAGTAGGTTTAATTCTTTGAAAGAATTTGCCAGTGAAAAGTAGATGATTTTTAGATAAGATAATGTTTAGGCCTCTGGGGGATCCCCAAAGCCTTCTGCAATGTACTCTGGCAGGCTATGAATGGTACGGGATTCTGCATCTATATCAGACATTTATTGAGGCTGACAAGCAAAAGCCCTTGGCACAATTTAATTTCCACCTAACAACTTCCCACCGTCCAGCTGCAGGCAAAGGAGATCAGCAATGAAAGTTTTGAAGTCTACTCCAGCACCCTCATTTCCTGTCTTTATTTCCCTTACTTTATAAACGTATTTGGTACCTGCTCCGTAGATCATGCTCTAGTTTCCCTTTCGGTGCCATCTGGAAAAGGTGAGTTGACTTTTTACAGGGGCTGTGGATTAGGAGCCAGACTTCCCTCCATCCCAGGGAGACAAAAGGAGGCAGGAGAAGTCACCTCCAGCAGCACCCCAGAAAGCAATCAGACTTTCCCTGTGGGCAGGCAGTTAACAGATGGGAGTCTGTTTGCAGCTACATTCAGCGTAATTCAGCAGACCTACACTGGCCACCCGTGATGGGCCAGGCCCTGTGCCAGCAACCGGGGAAGGGAGGATGAACAAGGCACGTCGCACTGACCACGAGAAGCTCTTGGCGGTGTGAGCTGTTGGGATGTCCCTTTGTGGTGTTGGAGGCCGTGCACGAGCAGTCAGGACTTTGGAGACAAAAGTTTGGTGTTAGGGAGGCAGGGTAACTTGCTTTGGCAGCTACCCACCCTAAGTCAGATGGCAGGTGTTATTCTGGGGGCCCTGACACGCATCACTGAGGGAGACTGAGGAGTTTTCCTGGGAAGTGGGCAATGTTTCCCTGAATGTTCCTCAATTCTAATCAAGGCTGACACAGTTCACTTATAGATGAAAGCCAGTCACCCTGCCCACTGGGCAGAAATAACAGGGCTGACAGCTGAGATTCAGAGAAAATAGGCCAGAGGAAGTCCTTAAGTATAAAAAGCAGCCGGGTAGACTTGGAAATTTAGGAAGGGTGATGCAGGTAGAGGGGCCAGCAAGAGCCAAGTCTCAAAAGGCACAAGCCAAACTGATGCAAGGGAGCCCTCCTGAGGCCCCACATCAGAGCTGCAGACCTAAGGAGGCCCACCTCCACGACACCTGTGGAGGGCTTACTCTTGGTGCAGAGGAGAAGGGGTTCCCTGGACCAGCTGCATCACCTGAGAACATGTGAGACATGCATATTCTTGGGCTCCACCCCAGAGCTACTGAATGAACAGCTCTGGAGGCAGGCATTCTGTGAGTTAAGGAGCTTTCTGATATGCACTCAAGTTTGAGAATCACTGATGCAGAGGATGAGGAGATGTCTTGAGCTGGCACTGCGAGGAACTAACTGTTAACTAACAAGGTGAAATCAATTACTGGTGTAGTGAGGGTGCTAAAGCAGACCATCCCAAAGCCCCACCCGGGCCTTCTGGCTCCACTTGTTACTCACTGCAGCAGCGGGTTCAAGAAACCTTTGTCCTAGTCCCCATCCCTCACCTCCCCTCGGGCATGAGACAATTCCTGTCTGTCTGCCCCTTCTATCCTAGAGAGAAAGACTGCCCAGGAGA